TTTCTCCCGCCCTGCCTCTGTCTCCTTCCTGCCTGCTTCCTGCCTGCTTCCCTGCCTGTCTCCCTTCCCTGCCTGCTTTACCGTTCTGCTTCCCTGCCTTCCTGCCTCCCTCCCTCCCTGCCTGCCTGTCTCCCTCCCTGCCTGCCTGCCTGCCTCCTTCCCCTGCTTGCCCTTTCCAGCCTGTTGCCTGTCTGCCTCCCTTGCCTTTCTGCTTGTCTAAGTGCCTGCCTGTCTCCCTGACTTATTGACAGCCTGTCTGCCTCTCTGTGAACCCAATGAGGAGTATAACTTATTCTGTAACCAAGAACAGTGTGTGTGTGTGTGTGTGTGTGTGTGTGTGTGTGTGTGTGTGTGTGTGTTTACGTACGTGTATGTGTGTGTGTGTGTGTGTGTGTGTGTGTGTGTGTGTGTGTGTGTGTGTGTGTGTTTACGTACGTGTATGTGTCTGTGTTTTATGTGGCGTGTGTCTGTTTGTCAAGAAATAAAATCCCACATGAAATATATTTTAGAATTTCCTTTATAAAGTTAATCAGGCCATGGCATTCTGCTACAGTGCATGACTGTCAGCCAGCCTGTCATCAAGAGACACAACTGGTCATGAGAAATGGTTGGAATTTCTGCATGTGAGGACAGCAGATAAAATTGTATCACTATCACTGAAACGCACTTTTTTGGGTGGAAATAAAATTCTTAAAAAAAAAATCCTGGAAATGCTGGGACGTGTAGTAGTGGTGGTGGTGGTGGTGGTGGAGAAGAGAAGTAGTGTTGGGGAGGTGTGGGGAAGAGGCGTGGTTGGTGGTGAGAGGGGGTGGGGTGATAGGGGGGCTTTTGGTGACGTGGTTGGGGCTGGGGGGGTCGTGAAGATGCAGGAGTGGGCGTAGGGTGCTGGGGGCGTGGGTTGGCGTGGTTGAGGGTGAGGAGGTGTGGTTGGGGGGGAAGGGGGGGTTAAGCTGGGCTGTGATCTGGTGAGGGCAATTGGAGCTTCAGCGTCTTGGCCACTGGAGACGGCTGAGGATACAACACTAAAGCCAACCAGTGATATCATTTGTTACGTTACCCTCTCCAGCCCCCAGCCCCAGAAACCCTCCCCCTTTTGCTCCTTGGCCCACAGTCCCTCTCAGCCCTCACCCTTAGCTTTTTTGCCCCCCCTTTTCCCCTTAGCTCTCCAGCCCCTCACAGCCCCTTCCTTAGCGATCAGACCTCATCCCCATCTCCTTAGCCCCCTTAGCTTCACAGCCCCTTCTTTAGCTATCAGACCCCCAGCCTCCCTTAGCTCCCAGCCCCCTCCAGCCCCCTAGACCTCCCCCCAAAGAAAGTTTATATTGTACACCTACATTGTACTTTTTTTTCAAATTGGTTATGTTGTGTTATTGATGTTCTTCCTCTTTGGTCTTTCTGTTCTTGTTCTCCTTCATCTTGTTCTTCTCCTGTTATTCTTCTTGTTCTATTGTTATCGTCATTATTGTTGTCAGCATTGTTATTGTTATTATTACTGTTATTGTTAGTATTATTATTATCGTTATTGTTGTTATTATTGTTATTTTTGTTCCTGTTCTTCTTAGTTCTCTCTCTCTCTCTCTCTCTCTCTCTCTCTCAATTGATTCCGGCAAAAAGTGGTCGTCATATTTCAGGAAGTAGATTATATATTTTTTTCCAGAGGGACCCGGAGAGAGGGGGGAGAGAATGGAGTGTGAGGGAAGGAGGGGGGGAGGGAGAAATAGAGAGAGGGAAGTGAGAGACGCGAGGGAGGGAAAGGGAGATGAAAGGCGAGTAAGAGAGAGGGAGGTACGAGGGAGGGAAAGGGAGGTAAGAGAGAGAGAGGGAGGGAGGTGAGAGGGAGGGGGTAGAGGCTGTGTAGCGCTAATGCCTCTAACTGTCCCTCTCCTCGAGTGTGTCTTTCCCTCTCACTCGCTCTCACAGGATTATTTAATACATTTTACCCGAGATAAAATATTGAAGCAAAAATATATCCCACGTGTTATTTTATTTTATATTTTTATTTATTTTAATATTGAAAGTTAACAAATTTATTATTATTATTATTATTATTATTATTATTATTATTATTATTATTATTATTATTATTATTATTATTATTATTATTATTATTATTATTATTATTATTATTATTATTAGTGTTATTGTTATTGTTATTATTGTTGTTGTTGTTATCGTGGTGAACATGACCATTATCTTCCTCCCTCACTATCTATCGTGGTGAACATGACCATTATCTTCCTCCCTCACTATCTATCGTGGTGAACATGACCATTATCTTCCTCCCTCACTATCTATCGTGGTGAACATGACCATTATCTTCCTCCCTCACTATCTATCGTGGTGAACATGACCATTATCTTCCTCCCTCACTATCTATCGTGGTGAACATGACTCACTCTCATTATGTTTCTTTTCAGGCTTCGGCTTCGTCACCTTCGAGAGTGAAGATGTAGTGGACAAAGTATGTGAGATTCACTTTCACGAAATCAACAACAAGATGGTGAGTACAAGAGTGATGGTGACGGTGAAGTATTGTTGTATTGTAGATGATAATGGTGACGGCGATAGTGATGTATTGTAGATGATGGTGACGGTAATGGTGAGAATTTAAGTACGTAGGATTTTTAATAATGATGAAATAGTGACTTTAGATTGAGTAGGATATAGTGATTGGTGACGTTAATGGTGAAAATTTAACTAGGATTTAGTAATGGTGACTGTAGTTAGGAAGAGTACCTTAGTAATGGTGACTAATAGTAATAATAATGTAGGATTTTAATAATGGTGAGTAGTTATAGTGAAGAAGTAATTAAGTAGATTTTTTAGTAATGGTGACGATGATGGTGATTAGATAAATAAGACTGAAAACTATAGTAATATTAATGGTGACTATGGCTGTATGATGATGATGATTTCGTTCTTCTAAACTGTACTGAATGGTGATTAGAATGGTGTTGTAGTAGTAATAGTGACGTAGAATGAATGGTGAAAATGGTGACTTTTTAAAATACAAGGAAATATAATAATGGTGACTGATTAAAGGGAAATAATGGTGATTTAAGGGGATAACATGGCATTAATGGTGATCCAGACATAATGGTGACTGCTGGTGATCTGTTTGTTTAATGGGGGTGTTGTTGTTGTTGTTGTTGTTTTAATGGTTGTTTACTCGTGTTTATACAATAAGAAAGTAAACTTGATTATGAGAGAGAGAAATATATTGATGCTCTCTCTCTCTCTCTCTCTCTCTCTCTCTCTCTCTCTCTCTCTCTCTCTCTCTCTCTCTCTCTCTCTCTCTCCACCACGATGCCTTTGACAATATCCGTCTACAGTGGCAACAAGGAAGGAGGGGAGGGAGGGAAGGAGGGGAGGCAGGGAAGGAGAAGAAGGGGAGGCAGGGAAGGAGGTAGGTAGGGGAGGGAAGGGAGGGATATAGAGAGAGATGAGGGGTGAGAGGGAGGGGGGATGGGCGGAGGGCCGCTGATAAATTGGGTCCACGTAAAAGGGAGGGAGAAAGGGAGAGGAGGGAGGAGAGGAGGGAGGGAGGGAGGGAGGGAGCTCCAATGGAGGAGATATGGCACCTAGTATGAGCTGGTCATGGTGTGGGTTGGTCGCGGTGTGCTGGTCATGGTGTGGTCGCATCATGGTGTGGTCGGTCATGGTGTGGCTTTCAGCTGCGGTGTGGTCAGCTAGTGGTGTGGTTGGTCATGTGCCTTGGGCTATGGTGGGGTTGGCTGCGTGTAACTGGCTATGGTGGTTGGTCATGGTGTGGTTGGTCATGGTGTGGTTGGCCATGGTGTGCTTGGTCATGTGGTCAGTTATGGTGGGGTTGGTCATGGTGTGGTTGGTCATGGTGTGGTTGGTCATGGTGTGGGCGGTCAGTGGTGTGGTCAGCTATGGTGGTCAGCTGGTGTGGTTGGTCATGGTGTGGTCAGGTGGTTGGTCATGGTGGTAACTGGCTATGGTGTGGTTGGTCATGGTGTGGTTGGTCATGGTGTGGTGCTGGCCATGGTGTGGTTGGCTATGGTGTGGTTGGTCAATTAATATTGCTGACGGGGAGTATATCAGGTAGGGGTGTGGAAGTGGTTGAGATAACGTTATCTTTTATGCTAGTTCCTCTTTTATCCTCCCTTCCTCTTTCCCTTCTCGACCGATTTCTTCCTGTTGGTCAAACATCTCTTTCCTCTCCTCTCCTCTCCTGTTCCTCGCTCTCTCCTTCGTCTTCTCCTTTCTTCCTCTCCCTCTTCACCTCTCCCCCACCCCTTCTCCCCTCTAACTCTCCACTTCCTGCTCTCCTCTCCCCATTCTCCTCCCCATCTCTCTCTCCCTCTCCCTCTCTCCCTCTCTCCCTCTCCCCAGTGGTTTTATTACATAAGTCGTCATTCTTCCTACCAGTGTTGTCATGTTATTGTCGTGTTTTTGTTATTATCGTTTATCTTATTTCTTCCTCATTCCTTCATTTGAATACCCGGTGGTGTTAAGTCTCTCTCTCTCTCTCTCTCTCTCTCTCTCTCTCTCTCATGCTCTCCTTCATGCTAGTATTAACAGTGGACGCTAGTATTAACAGTGGACGCTGGTATTAACAGTGGACGCTAGTATTAACAGTGGACGCTAGTATTAACAGTGGACGCTAGTATTAACAGTGGACGCTGGTATTAACAGTGGACGCTAGTATTAACAGTGGACGCGGTATTAACAGTGGACGCTAGTATTAACAGGACGCAGTATTAACAGGACGCTAGTATTAACAGTGGACGCTGGTATAACAGTGGACGTGGTATAACAGTGATTAGTATAACAGTGGACGTGGTATAACAGTGGACGCTAGTATTAACAGTGGACGCTAGTATTAACAGTGGACGCTAGTATTAACAGTGGACGCTAGGTTATGGGTGTGAATGGCGTCGGGAAGATGATGGTCGACTTGCTCTCTCTGGGCAGCCCCGTCATGGCGGCCACGTCAGCAAGAAATCTTTGATGGCCTATGACAAGAGAGAGAGAGTGTGTATGCGGTGGAGTTCTTCCTTCTCGTCCTTCCCGCCATTAATGAGGACCTTGCCCTCCCCCTCTCCTCATCCCCACTCCTTGCCCTCCCTCTCCTACTCCCACTCCTTGCCCCTCCCTCTCCTACTCCCACTCTTTCCCTCCCTCCTACTCCCACTCCTTGCCCTCCCTCCCTCTCCCACCCCACTCCTTGCCCCTCCCTCTCTCCACCCCACTCCTTGCCCTCCCTCTCCCCACCCCACTCCCTTGCCTCCTCCCTCCCTCCTCCCACCCCACTCCTGTCCCCCTCCCCTCTCCCCACCCCACCTTGCCTCCTCCCTCCTCTCCTTACCCCTCCTCTCCTCCCTCCCTCTCTCCTTACTCCCACTCCTTGCCTCCTCCCCCTCCTACTCCCACTCCTTGCCCCTCCCTCCCTCTCCTTACCCCTCCTTGCCTCCCTCCCCCTCTCCTACCCCACTTCTTGCCCCTCCCCTCTCCTCCTCTACTCCCCACTTTGCCTCCTCCTCCCCTCTCTCCTACCCCACTCCTTGCCCCTCCCTCTCCTCTACCCCACCTTGCCTCCCTCCTCCTCTCCTTACCCCACTCCTTGCCCCCTCCCTCCCCTACTCCCACTCCTTGCCTCCTCCCTCCCTACTCCCACTCCCTTACCCCTCCCCTCCTCTCTACCCCACTCCTTGCCCCTCCCTCTCCTATCCCACTCCTTGCTCCCTCCCTCCTCCTACTCCCACTCCTCTTTCCCCTCTCCTACTCCCACTCCTTGCCCCCTCCCTCTCCCATCTCCCACTCCTTTTCCCCTCTCCCACCCCACTCTTTCCCCTCTCCTTACCCCACCTTGCCTCCTCCTCCCTCTCCTACCCCACTCCTGCCCCTCCCTCCTACTCCCACTCCTTGCCCCTCCCCTCTCCTTACCCCCACCTTTCCCCCCTCTCCCCACCTTCCACTCCTTTCCCCCTCTCCCTACTCCCACTTTCCCCCTCTCCCTCCCACCCCACTCCTTTCTCCCTCTCCTTTCCCCCTCTCCCACTCCCACTTTGCCTCCTCCCTCCCACCCCACTCCTTGCCCCTCCCCTCTCCTACTCCCACTCCTGTCCCTCCCCCTCTCTCCTTACTCCCACCTTGCCCTCCCTCTCCCTACTCCCACCTTTCCCCTCTCCCTACTCCCACCCCTCCCTACTCCCACTCCTGCCTCCTCCTCCTCGGCTGGCGAAAATCGATTATTTCGTGTAGTTTATAGTCCCCTGAGGACGCTGGTATCCCCCTTTTTGTTTGTTATATTCGCAAATAGTGTTTTTTGTTTGTGGTCTGTTACATAGTTGCTTCATCTCTCACTCTCGTCTGGATGAGAAATAGAGTAACACCTGTAGTCTCGTTATCACCCCGGACTCCGCCGCACAAACTAGTAGAAAGCTTTTTTTTCATTATTCCTTATTATTTAGGCATCATGTTTACGGTTGCCACTGTGCATGACTTTTAATTACTGTTTTGAAAGAACTTAATTTGATTTTTAATGTATTGTAATGTGTTAGAGAATAAGATAAGGCGGAGTATGAGCGAATCTTAAAGGCAGGGTGTGTGTGTGTGTGTGTGTGTGTATTCATGCCTGCACTGTCACACACGCACATGTTTAATACACGCATGTATAATCATATAGATTAACATATCTGTGTATACCGTCTAGTTTCACACACACACACACACACACACACACACACACACACACACACACACACGTAAATTTGTGTTTTATAAATGCAATTCGTATGAAGTCTCTCTCACTCTTTTCTCTCTCTCTCTCTCTCTCTATTTCACTCACTGATAAATTTATTATATTATATATATATATATTATTATTATTATTATTGTTGTTGTTGTTGTTGTTGTGTTCCAGTGTTCTCTCTCTCTCTTTTTTCGTCTATTTTCGTTATACATATCTTCTCTTTTTATTCCCTTGACGCTATCTATTTTTTATCCGCCTGTTGCTTCCTCCCCTTCCTACCTCTCTATTCTTTCTCTCCTTCCTATTTCCGTCTTCCTCTTCACTGTTTTTATTGTCGGTTTTTTATTCCTCTCTCTCTCTCTCTCTCTCTCTCTCTCTCTCTCTCCTTTTCATTTTACTTCTCCTTTCCTTCCTCCCTCTCCTTTTCTTTTACTCCTCCTCCCTGTCTCCCATCCCTCTCTTCTTCACCTCTTCCTCTGTCTCTACCTTCCTCCCTCCTCTCCCTTCCCCTTCCTTCATCTCTTCATTCCTACCAAATTCCATCTTTTTTCTTTCGTAAAAATTATCAGATCGAATTCTGGATTTATATTCTTCTTTTCTTTCTTTCTTAGTCTTTCTTCATTTATCCCTATATCTCCTCTTCCACCTCTCCCATCCTCTCTCATCTCTCTCTCTCACCTGGCCCCACGTCTCACCTGGCCCCACTGTCTCACCTGGCCATGGCCGGGCCGGGTGAGGATCAGGGAGTCGTCAGTAGCTCCAGGTTATTTTTACCTCAG